AAGAGGAGGCCTGATAATTACAGATCCCTTAGGTTATAACTCTTATAAAGACAGTTCTTCTAATTTCTTTATCTGAATCTCTCTCTCATAAAACATCTTGTTACTGCAAGAATTATTATTCCAGTCACCTATTTGTTCTGCTTTGCCAATTGACTAATTGAGTTGGTTAAGTACACTCATTTTTTGATAATGTTTTGAAAATAATTTTGTCTTAATTTAAAAGTTGTCTATTTTTATAAATTGCTACTACTCAGAAATGACTGCTAAAACGAACCCAAAAAAGTTACTTACCCTGTGCTTCTCTTAATAGATTTATTTCACAGATTTTGGTTCTTTACAATTGTATAGTTATTTCAATATTTCTCAGATATAATATGTACATTTATTATTATTTTTTTTTTGTCTTTTGTCTTTTTTCATGTCCGGCAACGGATCGCAACCCTCAGTGTCGCAAAAAAAAAGGACCAGGACCGGCAACGGGATCGCAACCGTCGGTGTTGCTCCCGCACCTTGCTCAGCCAGTGAGCGGGAACCGGTCTGTATGTGGGATCCGAACCCTCGGCGGGAGCGCTGCCGCGCTTCCCAAGCGGCGCACTGTAGCAGTGCGCCACCGGCCTGGCCCTTTTTTTGGGAACCCTCAGCGGGAGCGCTGCCGCGCTTCCCAAGCGGCGCACTGTAGCAGTGCGCCACCGGCCTGGCCCTTTTTTTGGCTTTTTTGTGACCGGCCGCACCATGCTCAGCCAGTGAGCACACCGGTCATCCCTATATAGGATCTGAACCCGGGCGGGAGCACTGCTGCACTCCCAGCACCGCACTCCCCCGAGTGCACCATGGGGTTGGCCCTATGAAACACTTTTTAAAGTATGTTTTCTTTATAACTACAGAATTTTTAATAAATTTGTTTCAGAGACTCCCCACAAAGTTTAACTAGAATAAAGTACCATATACTTTGGGAGTGTGAAAACCAAATACAAAACTGATCAAATTAATTAGGAGACCACCTGGGAGAGGTTATGACTTCAATAAAATGTCTTAACTGTTGACAAATTTAAAAGGAAAGGTTGAAGTTGGAATATTCAAGGACAGTAGATATTTTGAGCTTTGCAAAAGCTTGGAATGAACACGCAGAGATACTTTAGTTTTTCATTGCATAAATTTTTGTAGCTTCTGTGTCCTTTGGGTGGTAGGAATAGTGGTATATCTCAGTTTTTTCAACATCTCTTTTGGAGCGTGTTTCTGAATATTCAGAAGAGGCAGCACTAGTGTTCAGGTGCACTTGTTAGTTTAGTTGTAATAGGCAGGACATATTTGGATTAGACAAGTGAATGAAAGTTCATGTCCTTTCAGAATCACTGCTGAAACCATTTTTATGAGACAACATGGTACAATAGAAAGGGTGTGCTAAGGGAGGAAGCATAGTAGTGGTAAAAAGCAGATTCTGGAGAAAATGCCTGGGATAAAAATCCTGGCTATGCCACTGTCTAGCGGCTAGCAAGTCACTTAACCTATCTATGCCTCAGTTTGTTCATCTGTAAAATGAAGCTGATAATAGAACTTACCTCATAGATTACAAAGTACTAAGAACAGTGCCTGAGAACAGAGTAAATATTACATAAGTGTTTGCTAAATGAAAAAAGAAAAAACAACTTTCAAACATCATCTCTTTAAAATAAATAAAGAGAGTTGGATGAGTGGGTGTAGATGGTCTTTGGAGTCAGGTAATTGTGATTTATAACAGAAGTTCTCATATATGAAATGGGGCAAGATATAACATATCTGAGTAGAATTTTCTGTAATGTAAAATGAAAATTATGCTAACATCATGAAGTGGTATTAAAATAAAAGAATGTTGGTAAAGTTCTTAAAACATACAACATTCAACATATAGTATTTTTATTATTCTAGAGGCTCTAATCAACATTCACATATACCTAGTGTTATAAAAGAGAAACACATTTTAATTTCTCTTCTAGGTGAAATCAAGTCCTAAGAAACTAAACTCAGAATTCTATTTTCTATAAGGAACTCTTCATCTAGTTCTCTACATGTAGTTAAGAGAATTTCATCCTGAATATGAATATGATTAATTGATTTCAACAAATTTTCAGAGAATTGTTTTGGTTAAAAACTCTACTATTTTTTCCAAGAAATGACCAGTTTAACAATGGACCTTCTTCATGCTAACACTAAAGAAATTTGTAATGCTAGGTGTTTATAAAAGTAGCAGCAGAAATTGCCAAATTTAAAGAGAAAAGGGTTTATTATTTAAAAAATACACACACACACAGATTTTTGTGTATACTTTACAAGATTCTTTCATAATTTAAGAAAGAAAAATTGTTTTATTAGTCTAAATAATGATTACTGTCTAAGTCCAATATAAAATAGACTGTGAATTGCCTTTCACCTTTAATCTTTACCTTTAATTTTTATTATTTAATTTCTCATTTTCTTTGGCATAATTTGCTTGAAAATTTGTTTTCCATGAGCCCTGATATGATTTGTATTTACTTCTACAAGATGACAAAATTGAGAACAGATTTTCAGCTGAAAGAGATGACTATGGATCAGATACAATGAGTGAGATAAATATTGTTGGCCGAATTACACTAAATCTTTGGAGAATCATGAGAAATGAGGTAAGATGCTTTATGTAAATTTTGTTTGGGAATAAGAGATGAGATCAATATAACAATTTAATCATTATAGAGTATTACTGCAGCTTACTATGTAAGTTATGATTTTTTGTGAATTACTTTTATTACACTTAAGTAGAGGCTACTTTATAAAATGCAAACTACAGAGGTATTAGGCTTTAATGTTATTGATGAATTTTAATTTTTTTTTCCTATTTATGCCTATGGTAGCAATAGCTAGAAAAGTCTATGGCTATAGTAAAATACTATGTTATATGGGTTGAATATTATAAAATTTTATCATTTTTTGCACTTAAGGACAGATAAATTAATTTGGCTTGGCCTCGTTAATTTATTATATTAAGAAAAATTTAGTCTGGACGTAGGAAGGAGTTTCTCGAACTATGGATGTTTAAATACTGGGTCAGATTAATAAGGTAAATTGGAGAGAGAGTACTTGGAAATAGTTCAGAGATGCATACAGTTGAGATTTTGGGGGGGCCTGATAAGGATTTTTGATGGAGTAGTTTCAACAAACTATCCTATAACCAGTTGAATCTCATCATGTCTGTTTTTTTTCCAGCTAAATAATTTGTTACAAATATTCCTGACCAGGAGGTATACATAGTTTTGAATTAATTATGACTGTTGTAACAAATCATTTTTACAAGCAGCTTTCATATCTACTATGAAAAGTTTAAAGTGGTATTAGGATCTTTTAGAACCAAATTTGCTACATAAATATAAGCATTGTTATAATGGTTGTCTTTTTTGTTTTAGGTGGCTCTGACTAACTACACCTTTGAAAATGTGAGCTTTCATATCCTTCATCAGCGTTTTCCCCTCTTTACCTTTCGGGTCTTGTCAGATTGGTTTGATAACAAGACAGATCTATACAGGTAATGTTTCACAACTCTAAGGAGGATAATATCTCTTTTTTTAAATCAACATTATTGAGGTATAATTTATATAATAAAATCCAGACATTTAAAATATATTGTTCGATGACTTTGAAAAATGTAATCACCCTGTAACCATTACCCCAAAGTCAGGAACATGTCTAACACCCAGAAAATTCTCTTATACAGGTTTGCAGTCAACCTGACCACGCAGACAAGTACTAATTAGATTTCTATTATTGTAGATAAGGTTTACCAGTTCTAGAACTTCGTATGAATGGAAATATTCATAAGCTACCCCTTTCTTTCTGGCTTCTTTGAAGAAATTCAGCATAACGTTTTTTGAGATTCAACCATGCTACATAGACCAGTAGTCCGTTCATTTTTATCATTAAATAGTATTCAGTGATATGGAAATATACTATCACTTATTTATCAATTCACCTGTTGATGGATAGTTGGGTTGTTTCTAGTTGCGATTATTATAAATAAAACTAATAAAGATTTGTATGCAAGTCTTTATGTGAACATACATTTTTATTTCTCTAGAGTACAATTGCTGAGTTACATTGTTAATGTGCATTAACATTTTAAGAAACTGCCAATCTGTTTTCTTTGGCAATTCTTCTTGCAAGTCTTCTGGCAAAAAATTCTTTCAACTCTTGTTTATCTGAAAATGTCTTTATATCACTCTTATTTTTGAATGATATTTTCACTGTCTCTCTCATTCTGTGGTTGAGGGGTTTATTTTGTTTTGGGGGGTTTTTTTCCACCAATGTAAAGATTTTGTTCCCTTTTCTTCTGGCCTCCACTGTTTCTGATGAGAAGTCAATAGTCATTTTCATTTTTCCAGGGTATACAGTTAATTTTCTTTTCAAATTCAGGTTTAATGAGCTGTTGACTTTTGTTGCTTGTTACTCTGTGCAAAACTTACAGAGGAAGCAGAAGGAATTTCTCAGTTCTCCAGCCTCAGTCTTTGGAGGTCCTGTTCTCCTAGGGCTCTGGGATAGGACTTTCTCAGCATTTCTGCTATTCCCACAGTAACAATAGACCTTTGCTTTGTACCACTGCCAGGTCCTGGGCCCAAACAGGTTTTCTGACCCTTCCGCAGGGGCAGATGGCTTTTGCTTTTACTTTTTCCTCAGCAGTAGTGTTCCTTTGCCTGGGATCTATGACAGAAAGTTTTCTTGCCCCTTTCCCCAATGGTAGATAGCTGTCACTTATTACTTTGTGCAAGGCCTGCGGTTGGAACAGGGGAGTATACCAGGCGCAAGGTGTTTCCTAAGTTCCTCAAACTTCACAGGACTCAATCTCCAAATTCTGTTCCCTGTGCATACTGTTAGGGAAGGGAAATGAAATCACAGAAAGCACTGAGCTTATGATCAAAGCCTTATAGAAAGAGAAGCTTAGGAGAAGTTATGTATCTATAGATAAAACAAAACTTGATATTAAACTTAACGCTGAAAACTACATTTAGTGGTTTGTTTATAAGCCCTAGAACACTCTAAATGCATATTTTACTACCTCTAATTAGGTATTATCTAGGATGATAAGTATTTCTGTTTTTGCCAAGTGAAATAGAGAACTGGACCTAACATTCTGCAGAAGTGGCTTGTACTAAACATTAGACCATTTTTATTAAGTGGATTATGTTACATGGAGAGACCAGGCCTCTTTCTTTGGAGTTTCTTAAGCAGACCAGACCATTTTATTTTTAAATTTAAGTGAATTCTTACCAAGAAAGTAAGTCATACCTACTTTTTCAAGGATGCTTTTCAATTTACATTTGCTTTCTACAATGTTTTAAGGAAATACAGGTTTTTTTTGTAAATTGACTCAGAATGAGAGGAACTGGCTAGTCATGGATTTCTTGTATTAAATATGTTTGTAAAACATAAAGGCACCCTAATTTTTTTTAAATATTGTAAACCCAGATTTTGGTCTCCCAGAAGCCCTTGATTTATATATATGGGTTATAGTCCCAAAGTTGTATTCTTTGGGACTTAAAGTGTATTTTTCCATAAAACAATGTTGTGTAACATGATTAGATTCTCAAGTTAGCCTATAAAAACCTTTCCTAATCCCTAATATTACTGATCTAGAAAACTCATAATACCATCCTAATCTCATCTGTTATCCACAGAATAGTTACTAAATGCTATTTCAGTTTCTGAGCTGGGTGCTGTGTCCTGGGAGCAGAGGGTTGTGCAGCTCAAGAAAATATAATAAATTTTCTCCTCCATTTTCTGGGTATAGAACCAATCCATAGAAAAAGTTCAGAATAAGTGAATTTTGTACTTAGAATTCTCCTATCTCCTTATTTGTCACCTTCTCTCCAGATATACCCTATCTCAAAAAATACCCTGTGCCCTCGCAGTGCTTTATGTTCCCCCATTTCAGCACTACCCAGGCCTGTCCTGAGTTGCTCATGCTTTATATTTCATTCCTTCCTCTTCTTCAAATCAAAACTTGTATTTTCTTATTACTCTTGAGCTTGATAGAGTTAGGAGGATGGCATAATTCTTTAACAACAACAACAAAAACTAACAAAAGTCTACCTTGTTGCATTGTTATTGTTTTAAGAACCACAATTACCCATTCTCTTTATGTAACACATGGCTATCCAGATAGGACTAGAAAGTAGGAATGCAGGTGATCTTATTTCAGAAAGACCACTTTTTAAATACTTTTTAAAAAAAATTTAGTCATTCAAATTTTTTTTTATATTTATGTGTTATACATGAGTAGATCTAGATCAAAAAGTAGCAGTTGTTATCTGCTAGATAAATTATTCAAGCTAAAATGTACCTTGTTAAATTAACCTTTAGTTATGAAAGATAAAATGCTATTTGGTTATATTGCTTCATTACCAGTCAGTGGAGAGGAATACATTAATACCATGTGAAGTGATAAGCAGTGGGTCTACCTTTATTGTTAATGAAAAAAATTAATAATTTGCTATGATACTAGAAATTTAATAAGACAGTTACTCATTTATAATGTGCAATCATGCCGTCGTCTTTTCTTTTGATCATGTTCTGTCTGCTTAATCTATTTGTCATAATTCGTTTGGCTAAAAGCTCAGGTTCTACTGTAGTAGGTTTCTAACCTGGAACAAAGTAACTTCACAGTAATTCTCAGTTTCCTTATCTATAATATAGGGATGTTAATACATTCTACTTCATGGAGTGAAGTAAGAATTAAATTAGATAATGCATGTAAAATCTTTAGCACACAGAAAGCTGTCAGTATATGTTAATTAATTGGTATATCCTCCTTCTTTTCAAGGTAGAAAATTAGATTCTAAATGAAATGGGGAAGTAGCAATTACTATAATTATCATAATAGTTGCAGCTATAGTTCTTGCTTTTGTCTAACACTTTACAACAGTCTTAGGATTACCCCCGTTTTACCCATACTAAAATTAAGGCCTAGAGGGTTAAATGATTTGCCTAGAGTCACATAGTAGGTTGTAATAGAGCCACAATTTGAACCTAGAACTATCTGACTTTTATGCCTTTGAAATACCTGACATTTTCTAATATTTAACTCATTAATATAATTTGCTTAAAGGCTCATATCATGACTCTCTCCTTAAGTAATTATTTCACTTTTAATATGTATGTTTTTGGCAGAAAACAGTGCTGGTTTCAAGTGTTCAAAATTTTGCATGATGTTCATCACATGGATTCTTTTTTAACAGATGGAAGATGGTTGATCATTACATTAGCCGTGTCCGTGGAAATATCCAGATGTTAGAACAGCTGGACCTGATTGGGAAAACCAGTGAAATGGCCAGACTTTTTGGCATTCAGTTTTTACATGTACTGACAAGGGGTTCACAGGTAGGAAATCAGTTTTCTTTCTCATTTGACATTTCTTCATGAGTAATATACTTTTGAAGTGTTTGAAGTGATTTGATTTTTTTAAACTTTCTATCTGGTACCCCCTAATCAATAGCTAGGTAATCAAATCTTATTTTATTTTCTGGAAAAGCTTTAATTTCACTCTAACAGCTCCACCTCTCCAACCAACTTTCTGGCCACTGCCAAGTTTTTCCTGGTATTAAGGAAGTAAATGTCCGTGCCCTTGAGGATGATATTACGTTCCTGAATATTGTTAGTGTGATTAGAGACGCTCCTTTTGAACCGGGGAGCAACAAAGAAATTTTACCTTTGTTTTACATTTCTAATTTTGGCTCACTCCAACTCCCAATAGATGATTTTAGTGTAAAAATGAAGGATTTGGAAATCAGTATAAATGGGCTATGTAACTTTTTTTAAATGTTTAAGAAAAATGGGAACTTAAGTCACTTAATTCTTATCTTTCTAATTTCCCAAGGATGTAATGAGAGATTTTGTCAAATGCCTTGCTGAAAATGATTTCATGCATTTATTCTACAAGTATTTATCTGAATACCTGTAGCTTGTTAAGCACTGTGCTAAATATCAGGGATCCTACATTAAATCACTCAGGTTCCTTAACTTTATAAAATCTTTACTTTTAATTATTTTAATTACTTTATGTCAATAACATTCCTCAATCAACCAATTCATAACATATAACAAAAATAGAGTTCAAACTACTTTGGCATTACCTGTTACTTAATTTTACTGCTTATAAGCTATTTATTTTATCTGTACCCCCACAAGTTTTAAAAACTGTTTGAGCTGGTTTATAATAAAAGACAAATATACCTTAAAACCATATGAGAATATTTTAGTGAACCCTTGCTGGTTCTTGTGAGTGCTCTCTTTTTATAATACCTCAAACCATCTGCTTAATAGTAGTTGTTATAAACAATCGGTAATTGCTTGATTCAGTTTCGCTAGGTATCAGTAATAAGCTGATTACCTTTCAATTCTGGAATCCTTCTTTTAAAAACTGGGATAACATTTCTCTATCTCAAGTCTCCTGACAGGCCTTTTTTTCTAAAATTTTCCCCGGTAAATTTCTCAGAGATTATTGACCAGCTTTTTAAATGAAACTGTCAGGCTGTACAGCTCTCTCTCTTACATCTGCTTATTATGGTGTAGATATATATAAACATGAAAAGAGATCTAATTACATCTGTCTTTCCAAAATTGACTTATTTTATAAGTTATTTGACATATTTATAGTTTTTATAATAAAAGTTATGGGAATAAGAAAAGGATTTATATACATCCCCTTCAACACTGGAAAGCTGACTAAATTAATACTGTGTAATTGTATTGTAAAAAAGCCATGCAGCCTTATTCTGAAGAGTAAAACTTTCACCAAATGATTATCATATGCTCAAATGACTAATATATTTATATTTAAACTGTGTTTCCTCTTTTCTCACCTCTCTCTCCCTATGTGCAGTACCGCGTGGAATCAATGATGTTGCGTATTGCTAAACCAATGAACTATATTCCTGTGACACCTAGTGTTCAGCAGAGATCACAAATGAGAGCCCCACAGTGTGTTCCCCTAATTATGGAGCCTGAATCCCGCTTCTATAGCAACTCTGTTCTCGTTTTGGATTTCCAGTCACTATATCCTTCTATTGTAATTGCATACAACTACTGTTTTTCTACTTGCCTTGGTCACGTGGAAAACTTGGGAAAGTAAGGTTTTTTCCATGTTTACAATTATGTTGTTGTGCTTTGTATTTCTTACTAAAATTAGACTTTCTTTGAGTGTCTCTTTGCACTTGACGCTGTTCTTATGAGCAAGAAGACTGGGCTGTAGCACAGCTAATCCATGTGGTTGTCTTACTGATTGCTATGGATCACCTTAGGATTAATTCAGCTTCATGATGGATGTTGCTTATGAAGAGAATTGTGAATAGATCAGCCTTGCAGCTATCTTTTTCACTCTATGTATAGCTATGGTCTCTTTTAAAATGAAAGTTATTTTTAATTGTTAATGGAAATCACCTTTCAGTGAAATGGTTTGAGGATTATGATCTGGTAAATTCAGATATCACCTCCTCAGCTTTTCTTAGAAATAGTCTGATTTTTAAAAAGTTAAATGTTAGTTAGGTTTTATTAATTCATGTAAATTGAATTTTATAAACTGAATGAGAATAGTATTTTAAATTCTCAAGAAGTAGATATTTTTCTTGAATTGTAAGAAATAGTCTTTCTTTATAATGATTTTTGCGTATTTGAGATCAAGTGTGGTTTTAATCTGTAGTATACTCACTTCCTCATAGAAAGCATCTTTGGAAATTATATTGGTAATCCTGTCTTTATAAAGAACAGGAATTTGAAAAACATGAAAAGATTTAGTCTTTTTATTTAAGGTTTAAATTTTTCTTTAAGGAACTTAGAATAAGGTGATCATATGTTGAGTTGAAATTTGGTATTTCAGTATACATTTTACTCATAAATTTTAAGATAGTGCCATTTAAGAAATGTTCCTTTTAATTGTGAATATTTGAAGAACTGCTTTTTAGTAAGAAGGAAAAATAAATATATTACCAAATATATGAATTCATGTTCAGATGTTGAAGAATGAATTTCTAATGGGATAAGAAAGATTCCTAAGATTGCCTAAAAATCTCTGTTCTGTGATTTGAGAAAGTATTTGCTTAATGTTTTCTTTCTTAACAGGTATGATGAGTTCAAATTTGGCTGTACCTCTCTAAGAGTACCTCCAGATTTACTTTACCAGATTAGGCATGATATCACAGTGTCCCCCAATGGAGTAGCTTTTGTCAAGGTAATACTCTCTTGTAAATGAAAGATATCAACTTGGCTTAACTTTTGGAGAGCTAATAATGGTTTACATATTGTTGGCACATAGTAGACACCAAAAACACCAAGTTTGCTTGAATATTTTATCTTAAAAAGTCAAAGATGTGGGAATCTTTTAAGAAATCACTCAGGAAAAAAAACCATCTTGTTTTGCTCGAACTTAGGTTTAAAGTTTTTTAATTGTTAAATTTTAGTTCATGAAATATTGAAAGAAATAAATGTACACATATACCTTCTGCCTTCTATTAGAACTGGCAGACTTAAATAGCAATTTGATTATCTTTACCTACAAAGATTTAAATTGCTTTAATGTGTTGACTCTACTAATTGTTCTTTGCATTATTTTAAATTAAGACTGTCTTAGAAATTTGATAATTTTTTTTTTTTTTTTTCCTGACCGGTAAGGGGATCACAACCCTTGGCATGGTGTGGTCTGCACCACACTCAGCCAGTGAGCGCACCGGCCATCCCTATATAGGATCTGAACCCGTGGCCTTGACACTACTAGTGCCGCACTTTCCCGAGTGAGCCACGGGGCCGGCCCAGATATTCTAATATGTTTATTGATTGCATTTTTAAGAACATATCCAAACTAATGATCCCTTTTTTCTCTCCCTTATCTCTCCTCAAAAGAGACTGAGAAAAAACACATAAAGACAAATAAGAGAGATCTAGGAGATCATATTGCCACTTATATGTCAACTTCATTCTTTTCTGTTTCCTTAGCAGTGAATCTGTACTAGAATCATGAGACAGTAGGGTGGTTGATGGTATAGTGGACCCCACCAGCCCTTAAATTCATTCTGGTGTACTTAACATAAGTAGTACCATTCTCTGCCAGTAAGAGGGAATTCTAAACTAAAATTAGTAATTTAGATGTGAGGAAATTTTTTACCAGAGTTCATGATATATTCCTTTTTGGAAAATTTTAAGGTTCAGTATATTTCCAGGAAATGATACAGATGAGATCTACTTGAAGATATGGAAATAGATATTTTTATTAAATGCATCTCCACGTAAAAATCAGTTTTCACATCACATACATGTTTGCATATTTGTCCCCTGGTTTTTTTATATTACATCTTAAACCATTATTACTGCTTCAAAATGTACACCGGATGAATTATAGGTTAGAATATGTTCTCATTTTCACATCTCTAGCAGCTTATTACATTATCTCCCTTTAACAGCTTTTTAAAAATTTGCATCTACATTTTGACCCAATATGTGAAGCTTAATGAAAATAATATTTTTTTATTATTCAGGAGCGTAATTATCCTATCTATACCTGAGGCTTTAAATGTTAGATCCAACATGCATTACCTTGCACGTGTCTGTGAATCATCATCAAAGTTAATACTGTTTTGTGGTTATCATTCCTACTGGAGTTCTTATAAATTCTCCCTAGTCTTGACTAATACAAATGATTTTTTTTTTTGGCATCAACAAATTTTATCACCTCACTATTCATCCCCTCTTCCAGATTGCTAATAAATATAGGCCGGAGGGGATGGCTTAGTGGTCTAAGCATCAGATTTGAAATACCTAGAGTCCCTGGAACTGCAGGTTTGAATGTCAGCAGAGTCAACCCAGCTCATCATTCTTCCAAGGTAGATAAATGGAGTTCCATGCAGATTACTGTGTGGGGTCATTAGGATGAGATCTTTAAACCTGAGGTTGGTTATGAGTGATACAAGTCCCATCTGTCTTTCTGAAAGAATGGGGGTTTCCATTAAATTTTTAAATAAAATTTCCCTCTGAACTTATTGTATGGTCACTTATGCACTAGTTGACATTCTCTTGCTTGGAGATCTCTGAACTCACATAGTAGTGCTACATAAGATTTATAAACATTACAGGAACTTTTTAGGAGAAAAATCATCTTCGAAATAAATTAACTGTGATGATTTTATATTGACAGCCACTAGTCTCTGTGGCCACTCTGTTGTTAGCATGTTCCAATTCATGACAGTTGGCCATTATTGTACCTTGTGCTTCCTTCTTAATTATCTAAATCTGTTTGAGGGATTTTAAACATTCTTTTTTCCTTTATGGTAGCCTTCAGTAAGAAAGGGTGTGCTACCGAGAATGCTTGAAGAAATTTTGAAGACTAGATTCATGGTGAAGCAGTCAATGAAGGCTTACAAGCAAGACAGAGCCCTGTCACGAATGCTTGATGCACGTCAGCTAGGACTTAAGCTGATAGCAAATGTCACCTTTGGCTATACATCTGCTAATTTTTCTGGGAGAATGCCATGTATTGAGGTAAATGATACAAATCTGTAGTCTTTTCAAGAGACTCAGCAGAATTAAATGCATGCCTGTTCATTAAAGCATTTCATTTTGTTTCGAAACTTCAGACTAAAGGGTTTTATTTTCATGACATAGGATCAGTTTTTCTCAAACCAGCCTCATATACATACATATTCTTGGGGATTTGTGGATTTTCCATAGGAGAATTGTGTCTTATTTTAATGATAATTTTAGAAATTAGCATATACATATTTCTACATAATCTGGATGACCATATTGTAACCTTCTATTAGCATGAGATTTCAGTGCCACCTTTCTAGCAGTGTTAACAACTTTAGTATTAAATAATTCCTTTTAATGTATGGATAGAGACCTGATTATAGTTAGGTTGGATTGTCCAAATGTCAGAATAAACAACAATCATTCTGTATTTACTAATGTATCAGTAGCTGTAAAGTAAAACTTTTCCTTTGCAGTGATCAATGACAATTAAAAGACACTTTTCACAGAATAAGGCTAATTTCTTATTTAATAAATTAAGGTATTTATTTGACATGAATACAAAATCAGTGTGACAGAGTAATATAATAATTTACTAGTGATTGAGAAAAGAACACAATAGACATTATATTAACGATCTTTTCATGCCAAGTGAAGGCCAGAGGACATTGTGGTATATCATATTTGCAGTAGTTCAGTGAGAGAAAAGCAAGAGAAAATAAAGTACCCACACAGCTCACAGTAGGCAAGTGAACTCCAAAATCCTGTGCAAGGCAGTCAGTGGCATATTCTATTGAAAGCAGCAAAATACCATCTATAATGGAAAAATAGTATCAACTTGAAATTTTTGGTAATATGATTTTGTTTATACTGGATAGGTTTTTTGGTTTCGTAGTTGTACTCTAAAAGCTATAAGCAATAATAAGTTTGTATATAGTTTCATGTTTGTAAATACAGGTTTAAGTAAAACAAAAAATACTTTGTCAGTCCTAAGGGTTCATGTTATTATTTACATTTGAAAAACACTGTTCTATATGATCTAGTAGAAAAATGGATAGGATTATATTACTGATATAGAACAAAGATATCAATCTTAGGCTGTTTCCACATTTTCCTATTTTCTTCCTTACCTCTCAATTTAAAAATTATTTATTCATGCACTTCAGTAACAAAACAATGTAAAAATAATACTTCTTTAAAAATATATAAATATTCTAACTCTATAATAATCAGAATTTGGGGGATCTTGAACTAGCAGTGGAAATTTGAGAGTAGAGTTCTGCCAGGGAAGTACACTGCTACTTAGCATGGTGAAGTCAGACTGCCAAGCAACATATGCCTCCTTGACTAGGGTTTTCTCAGATATTTGGAGGTTAATGACTGTGAGCATATCAAATGCCGTCTTCACAACAAACTCCTCAAATGCCATCTCGACAGTGGTACAATGTTGTGCTCTCTTCTATGTGAAATGAGGAGAGGAAAAAACAGCTATCATCACAGAAAGAGCTTCCAATGAATAAGTGAAAAGTTAGCACCAATGGAGTAAAAATGGAAGCTATCAGCCAGGTTTTTTTAAAAAAAAAAGCGCAAATGGATTATTGACTGTGGTCATGTGTTTTCCTTCAGTCAATACACAATCAAAAATATCTGATGGTATAGTCAAGATCACAAAAGTGCTAGATCTGGACTACTGTAGAGATAGACAAGATAAGAATCCCTATTAGAATATGGAGAATAAATAATATATCTCATTCTTGTAGGTTAATGTCTATTTCAGTTGGACCTTGTCACTGACATATTTCATAAATTAAGATTTTTGTATATTCACACTTTTCTCCTAAACTATTCATACTTTCATAAACTATATTTATGACAAAGATATATTTGAGATAATTTTTTTCAACTGGCTAAACTTCATTTCTTCTTATTTGTTTCTTTTCAGAGAATTAATTTTTACTTTAAATATTGTTCTTATTATAGTCACAGTCATAATTCAGGATCCCAACCATTGCCTAAATTGTGAAACCAGTTATTTTTTCTTTTTTAGATCCTCTTAGCCTGTAGTGAAGTAGTGCTTTTGAAATTAGGAACCATGGTACAAAGCAGCAGAATTCTTTAATTTAATTACCTCTCCTTCCCTCTTGCCCCTCCTCCTGGTGCTGCTGAATACTTAATACTGCACAGTCTTCGGGGTCAGCTGAAAGAGTTCTGACTTTTCTAGGTGTAACTTTTAAATAGGTCAGAGTAAGCAGCATTAAGCAGACATTTAAGATCAATATGTGTATGTATGTGTGTATATATATTTGTAAGTGTATATCTCAAAAGCATATTTGACTTTGTCACTAGGATGGCTCACCCATCCAACTATTTGTTCTTACCTATTTAAAAGCTTACTTTGAAAGTGGCAACAGGTGATAGATTGTACATTTTATTCAACTTGAGTTTCAGTTAGACAACATGATTTTTTAAATGTACAAAGTTATAGTTCACATTCCCAGGGTTTTCTAATGCACTCAAGGTCTCAGTAGAATTCATGATCTTAATTTAAAACCAAAATTAAGTTCCTGCTACCAGTTTTATTATTTATTCCTTTGTTCAAATATTTAATATTTCCTTTGTAATGCAACTTGAACAGCCTTTTAAATACTATTCAACTGTACATTTAGTTCCAGTAATTCAAATTTTATAGTAAACGAGGAAGGATATTACTATTATTTGCTTCTTAACACAAAAGATCAAATGCATATTTGATCTTTCGATCAAATTTTTTTTTTTTTTCTGACCGGTAAGAGGATCGCAACCCTCAGCACGGTATGATCCGTACCATGCAGCCTTGGTGCTCCTAGCGCCGCACTCTCCCGAGTGAGCCATGCGGCCAGCCCCTTTTGATCATTTTAAAATTGCAAAAGGATTGCTCCATTATATTAGATGACCATTTTCATCAACTCTTAGGTTTAATGAGTTTAATGAACTAAATAGCAATGCTATATACATAGTCTCCTTCACTTACTTAACTGTAAAATCTAATAAGCATGCTTCTCATATTTGTCAAGGCCCAGCATCTTTTTGTTTTGTCAGATTATGCTATAATGATTGTTAAAACTCACTAATCACCAATGAAAGAACCCTTGCTGGACATATATCTACCTACTTGATTTAAACTGAATGCTTGTAATATATTTTCCATAATATAATTACATACATCTATACATCTTTTCTTGTACATAGTATTTTTAAAAATTATGTATAACTACTGAGACTTAAGTTCAGCACTAACTTTAATGATATTGAAAGATATTATCATGAACACACCAACAGAAAAATTTTGAAAGAGATACACATATATGTACTTGGAACACAGAACAATTTCCTGCCTTTAGTTATAAGGGCATGTGAGAAAGTCCTTGGATAAACAAGACTTATTCTTCCATGAATCAGATATGCACCTTGCAAAAAGTGCAATTCATTGTACTTACTGATACACTCAAAGGCAAGTCTCTTTATTGATTGGTTCTTCTTTTTAATTCTTCATCTCATTTTCTTCTTGAGTACTTGAAGAAAGAATGATGACACTGATGGCTATTTTGTTTCCTTTTTTACATTCTTTTCTCCTTGTTTTATTTCTAGAAATACAAGGGGTCTTCAAAGAGTTCATGGATTTATGTTATTTTTTAATTCCATTTTTCCACAAACTTTTTGAAATACCCTCATATTAAGTAATTAAATTTAAAATAAATACTATATATTAAAGTTTATTGACTTATACTGAGCTATGTTAACAAATTATTTCCAATGTGTTTCTACCAACAGGTTGGCGATAGTATTGTTCACAAAGCCAGAGAGACCTTGGAACGAGCTATTAAACTGGTTAATGACACCAAGAAATGGGGTGCTAGGGTTGTATATGGCGATACTGACAGGTAATAATAGGTTCTTGGTTTTGTATTTTTTGGAGTTTTTTTTGTTTTTTGGGGGGTTTTTTGCATCTCTTCAGATCTTCATCTCAGCGTTTGAAATGGCTTAAGGATAATCCTTCCTAAAAATAGAGTTCTACCTAAGTCCTTTCCAGTCCTTATGATCTTGTGATCAGAGTAAACACAAGCCCTGATTTATCAAATACGGTCTTAAGAGACAGAAAGGGTAAGTGTCCTGAGCCACAAACTGAAGATTCCCATGGCCTTCCTCCATATACACAGGAATCTAGTGTATTTTTTAAACTACTTTTAGTGTGAATAAATCCTCTTATGGCTGTAGCTCTCTGAATTTAAATGTATATCTTAAAATAATTAAACTGTTTTTGAAGGACAGTTGCCAAAGCTGTGAGTGTTAACTTATCACTTGGCCCCAAAATCTTTTGACCTTGTACAGTTTTCCATTTGATTCCATAGGATTCACAGACTTCTTCAAGCCCATTATCCATGGACTGGTAAAGAATGGGACTGCTTTCGAATCCTGAGTTAATAACACCAGCCCGTTTGCTTCCTTGGTTGCTCTGTTATTGTTCCAGGCCTAGTTATTTATGTAGTATCTTATTTATATGGCTTATTGGAATTCTTCTAGAACATAGGTATTCTGCAATCTTGAAGTCTGAAATTTTTTTCATATTGAGGGCTTAGAGTCACAGTGTGATCATGCTAACAGCACTTGTATCAGGACCTCTGATCACTTTACAGTCCAACAGAGCAATAGGAGATAATGCTTCTAATCATTAAAAATAGCTTGTAAGAAAAGTAATCTTTGAACAGCATTTAATCTTCTCCAATTCTTTAAAAGGTACATGCAATCAGTATAATCATATTAATGCTGAATGGGACCTTGCCTCATGTAACAGCTGTTATTGCCAGCAGGTGGGGATAGTTTCAAATTATCTAGGCTCTAATTATCCATATTCTCTACTGTTACTCATCAAAAGCCACTCTTTGGTTTGACTTTGGGTATTTCACTGCTCTGTAAAATTACTTCTGCTGCATATTCTAGCAAAGTAAAAGTTATGAAAACACTTCTGCACCTTGTTACCGAACTCTTAACAGAATATTTAGGAAAGAGGAGAAAGCTAAACATTTGAATTGTTGATTATAATTCAGGGTCTGTACATGTCAGTTGTTGACAACATACATGCAGACTCAGAAGTCAGTATGATTCAGGGCTGGCCCGGTGGCGCACTGCTACAGTGCGCCGCTTGGGAAGCGCGGCGGCGCTCCCGCCGAGGGTTCGGATCCCACATACAGACCGGCCGCTCACTGGCTGAGCGAGGTGCGGGTGCAACACCGAGGGTTGCGATCCCATTGCCGGTCCCGGTCCGGTGTGGGCACGACACTGAGGGTTGCGATCTGCTGCCGGTCACAAAAAAAGACAAAAAGGAAAAAAAAAAAAAAGAAGTCAGTATGATTCCGATTGTACTTATGTTTTTTGCCTTTTAAAATCTTTAAAAATTCAAGTAAGCAAACAAACTTAGAATCACAGAATGTCAGCTTTAAGAGGACTTTGATATTATTTAGGCCAGCAGTTTTCATGCTATTGTGAGGAACCTTACAAGGTCTTAGAATGTACCTCAGGTCATGCTTAAGAACAGATTCCCTTAGGATAAAAAATTTGTTTAAGATCACCCAACAGTCAATAATGCAGTACTCAGTGTTTTGATTCCTAGCTGGTGCTTTCTCTCTACATCAGACTTTAAGAAAATTTATTTGCTGTGTCATTAGAACTTTTGATCACGATAATAATGCAGTACTCAGTGTTTTGATTCCTAGCTGGTGCTTTCTCTCTACATCAGACTTTAAAAAAATTTATTTGCTGTGTCATTAGAACTTTTGATCACGATTCACTGCCTGATCCATTCAACAAATGTTTATTGAAATCTGTATGAGGTAAATTCACTCTAGGGCATGTATTCTCAATGGTAACAGTATCACTCCGGGGAGGGGGGGGACCAGTATCACTCCAGCAGAATACAAATAGTTGGGGGGGGGGCACAAAAAAAATCTTAATATGATAGTTTTTGGCCCTACGGAGCTGAACCCTATCTATACAACAATATTTTATTCCTTAGTAATTAGTTTCTCTTGTTAAATTTAACTTTAATTTTTTCCATTGGGAGGGCATTAATGATAAAAGGTTGAGAAACACTACTCTAGGTATAATAGGTAATGCTTGGTGGAGTGAAAAAGAATTCCCAGCTGAGAGTATGGAGATCTGGACTCTCTTTTTAGCTGTACTTCTAGTTGATTACATGGCTATTAATAAGTCACGTAGCCTCTCTCAGGCTCAGTTGCCTTATCATCAGAATGAGGGAAATCTGACAGACGATGGTGAATGACCATTGCCTCCTTCCAATTTCAAGATTGGTGATTTTATGAATCTTGAGGTCTAGCTTAGGGAGATCAGTTACCAAGGCATCAGAAGGACTCTGTTAGAAGAGTGTTTTTCTCCTAAAGCAGTTATTTATTATTGTCCATTTGGAAAGTATAATAAATAAGCGCAATGTATTTCTTTATATTATAGTGGTTGAAAAAATTATTTTATATAATAGTACTTCTCAATCATATTCTCCAGTGGTGTATGACCTACTCCCATCAGTCATTGAAGTCTATAATAGTGATTCTTGTGTAGAATAGAGAAAGACATTTGACAAGACACATACTTCCAAGGCAGTAGAAGGGTGGTAGAGATTTCATAATCTCTTGGGAAATTCACCTAAGCATAATTAAGAAAAACCTCCTAGGTGATTCTAATATCCTCACTCAGTGCCCCTCTTTATGAAAATCATTACTCTAAATGTGTACTTTGGACCTCTCAACCCAAAGATGAATGTTATTTAAGCAGATCAAAAGCACTGGTGACAGATAACTAGAAATTCATTTTAAGTCTTTCCCTCTTAGGCCAGTCACCTCCACTCTGTTAAGTGACCAAAAACTTCCGTTAATCCTGGCCAGCTATCTTGAAGCTTAGCTCCAAATCAGCACCATGCTGTCCTGAGAGAGCCACCAGAGCCATCCCTTAGCTCCATATCAAACTGTCCAAAACAGTAATAGATGGACTCAGACAAACCCACTAACACTACTGGGTAAAATCTCATGTATATACCCTATAATAATAACTTTTAATATGTAAAGTATATATATCTGTAATTTTTATCACTTTTATTGAGTTACAGTTTTTAACAAAAAAAGTACACAGTATACAGTTCATATAAAAATGTGTAGACCTGAGTAACCAGCCACCATCTCAGTCAAGATACAGAATGTTTCTATCACCCTAAAAAGTTCTAGTTCCCCTTTGCAGTCAATCTCTAGCTCTCACCCCCAACTCCAGGTAACCACTTATCTGATTTCTATTACCATAGCTTAGTTTTGCCTGTTCTAGAGCTTTATAGAATTATGTATATGTACACTTTAATTTTAAAATATTTTCATTCATCACTACATCTGAACATTTTAAGAATAATAATCTTTCATAAAAATATTTTGGCAGTTACGTATGAAGTTAAACATTACCCTTAACATATGACCCAGCAGTTCCACTGCTGAATGTTTGCCTAAGAGAAATGAAAACATATGTCCACACAAAGGCTTGTATACAAATATTTGTTGGAGCTTTGTTCATAATTGTCCAAAACTGCAAACAATCTAAATGCCCATCAATGGGTGATTGGATAAACTAATTATGGTATATCCATACAGTAGAATACTACTCAGCAATTAAAAGGTACCAGTTACTGTCTCCCCAGCACTATGGATGTATCTCAAAATATGCTGAATGAAAGAAGCCAGACATAAGAGAGTACCTGTAGTTCCACTTACATAAAATTCTTGGAAAAACAAAACTAATCAAAGTTCTACCTTAGTGAGTGTTAAAATTAATTCAGATTGAGACAATTTCTGTTTTAAAGACCTTAAGTAAGATTGGATAAATTATTCCTTTTATTTTTTAAAACTTTTTATATCAGGCTCTAAAACAAGTACTGTCTCTAGTATTGGCAGGGAAAGAGTTTTTCCAAAGAAAGCATCCAAATGGGATTTAAAGTCCAATATAAAAAAAATTTAAGAAATATGAGATTAGTTCATGTAGCTAGAAACAAAAATCTTAAAGTCACGTTTCAAGATATTGTCCATTTCCACAATTTAAATTATAAGTGAACATGAACTTCATAATCTCTCTTAGCCATTAATTTTGTTAGTGCTCAGATTGTAGTATATACTGAAATGTAAAGTGCTATTATGAAGTTAACTGGATTAGAAAAAAGATTCCTAATACTTTTGTTTTATCAGTTATTTTTGAGTATTTTTTTTCCATATTAGAAATTCTTCCCTCTTGACCTGCATACATTGCTGGTGGAATTGTACATCAGAAATATCTTTCTGGAATTCAGTTTGATGGTTATCTTTCAAAATAAATTTTTAGTATATACCATTTGCTCAGAAATTTCACTTCTAGGAATTTGTTTTAAGGATACAATCAGAGATGTGCCAAATAATTATTTTAAATAAAATATTAGCTAAAAAATTTAAATAACCTAAATTTTTAATGGTAGGGGTTTGGTTAAATTATAATACATCCATACATGGAAATGTAGTGCAACTGTAAAAATAATGTGAAAAAACTAAGTAACATGGAAAAGTGTTCATGATATACCATTAAATCCAAGGAGAAAGTTACCAAACAACATGAACCACAGATATGCACAAAATGTTTATGGATATACACAAAAAGTTTGTAGTGTCTATTTTCTGAATGATGGGATTACAGATAGCTATTTTCTTTTTGTGTTTTCTATCTCTTCTTCAGTGAACATATATTACAAAATTTGTGTGTCATTTTAAGTTAGGTGGTTCTGGAAGGAAATTTTTCCCATATCACAGGTAATTTTTCCACTTCTTTATAATCACATATTCTCTTATTTTATGATGGACTTAAATGTGTGCCATACAAAATTTTAAATGTCTAGGGATGATCCAGGACCTTCTTGGCAGCTGCAATATTTGAGTTGGTCTGTGTGTAGCTAAAATATTGGATATCTTAAAGATCTGTAACAAGGTATATCATGAGTACACAAGGAAAGTGTGATAAAACAGGAAAGCTTAGATAGGAAGCAACTTAATAAGGGAGAGTAAGGGGGGAAAAGGGTTTTCTTTGGTATTATACAGTATTAGCCAAGAGAATTACTCTTGATGAAATTTTTTATTATAATGACTTCCTCATCACCCTACTCTATTTATAATCCCCTTAGTATGTTTGTGCTACTCAAAGGAGCCACTAAGGAGCAGTCTTTTAAGATTGGTCAAGAAATTGCTGAAGCTGTAACTGCTACCAATCCTAAACCAGTGAAATTGAAGTTTGAAAAGGTAAGCGGAATGTAATATGAGTACTAATAATCACATATAAAATTCACATCTAGCGATTTCTCACTTGTTCAATACATTTTCAGAATGATTAGCAGTATATGGGGTCTATAAAAGTGTTAAATTTTAAATATTTTCTTAGTTTTATATAATTTTCTCAAATTTTTTTAGTAATGTCTTTATATAAGGAAGTAGAAAGATTGTTCCAGTTACTATTGCTCTGTAACAGACCACCCCAAACTTAATGGTGTGAAACAACCAGTATTTCATTCTGCCCACAGATTTTATGGCTCAAGAATTCAGAAAGAGTACAGCAGGGATGGCTGGTCTCTGCTCCACAGTGTCTAGGTCCTCAGCTAGGAAGAATTAAAGGCTGTATGTAACCCAGCTGACAGCTAAGGGCTGAAATCATCTGAAGCTTGCTTACTCTCTTTAAATTGTGGTTGATGATGTCTCTGGGGGGACATCAGCTGTAATACCTGCACATGGCCTTTCCCTGGGCCTGCTTATTCCCCTCACAGCATGAAGGCCTGGTTCAAAGAGAAACAGAAGAAAGCTGTTGTGCTTTTTATGACTCAGTCTCAAAATCACATTGTATCATAAGCCTCTCTAGATGTAAGGGGAGGGTACATAAACCCCAACTGTTAATGGGAAGAATGTCAGAGTCACATTGTAAGACTATGTGGGATGGGAGATATTCTTTGTAATATAGTCTGCCACAAGGACTCTTGACTCTTTTTACTTACGTTTAGATACCAAATATGTATTTAGTTCTCTCTGTGTAAAAGATACTGAGCCTAGGAGCTGTATGGAATACAAAGAAGCTTTAGATACAGTCCTGCCTTACAAGAGCTAATGCTCGAAAAGGAATGATTAGAAATGTATATGAGTGATCTCTTTTATTATAAACTTAGAATCTCATGAGAGTAGGCTCCCTAAGCACTGTTAAGAACACAAAGAAAAAGAGGAATTGTGTCTTCCTGGAATGAATGGGGAGACTCCATGTAGGTGTTAACATTGAACTGTGCCTTGAAAAATGGCTAGAATTGCAATAGGTAACCAGGAGACTGCAATCATTCTACACAAAAGAAAATGGCATAAAGAAGCATATGGAGTTGGAAAAGCAACAGGGGAATATGGAGTAGCAGGAGACAAATCTGAAAAATAAGTTGAGATGAGGCCATAGAGTGTCTTGAATGCCAAGCTAAAGTGTTTAAACTTTTATCTAGTAAAGGTTATTGTCTTAGTCCATTTGTGCTGCTATAACAGAGTACCACAGATTGGGTAATTTATACTGAACAGAAATTGATTTCTCACAGTTCTGGAGGCTGGAAAGTACAAGACCAAGGGATGAGCATATGGTGTCTGGTGAGGGCGTTCTTGCTATGTCCTCATACGGTGGAAGGCAGAAGGGCAAAAAGGGACAAACTCCCTTCTTCAAACCCTTTATAAGGGCATCTAATTCCACTCATGAGGGGAGGAGTCCTCATGCTCTAGTTACCTCTTAGAGGCCCCACCTCTTAATATCATCACAGAAGCTGTGACACTGGGTCATAAAAACCCTTTTGTCTGTTTCTCTTTGTGATGTTCACTCCTAGAATCCATCCATCATGCTGTGAGGAAGAAAAAGCAGCCCCAGGAAAAGGCATGTGTAGGTGTTTCAGCTGATGTCCCAATTACACTGAATTTTGGAGGGGACACATTTAAACCATAGCACTTGTCAAACAAAGTGACGTGATCACAGCTGTTTGGGGATAATTGGCCTCACAGAGGTGTACAAGATGGATTGGGAGTAGGGGAATCACAAGACAGGATGCCCCTTCCAACCCATATCGCCTGAATTAGTGAAATGACAGTAGGGAAAATAAAGGGCTATCCAAGAGATACTTAGAAGGATGGGCAAGAGTTAAAGGGATTGTTTTAGGAGAGCAGGTGTGGAAAGCATAAAAGAGGGAGAAAAGAATCAAAGATGACTCCCAAGTGTTTATCATGTACCTACTCTGAAGGAAGAATTGTGCCAGAAAAGATTTAAAGAGGACTCATATATGGTATCTGAAGAATGAGCATTCTAATTGAGGGAGAGAGAGGAGAAAAATTAGAATTAGTGATGAGTACTATTTTAGAAGTATGTGTATGATGCTGTTGTCACTCAACCCATCTGGTAAAGTGAAGAGCATGGTGTGCTTGGAGAAACCACCATACACAAAAATTTACCTGAAATAGATCACAGACCTAAATGTAAGAGCAAAGACTGTAAAACTTCTCAAAGAAAACAAACATTTGTTAAGAATTATGATGCATATGTTCAAGGTGAATATTGATCTGTAGGTTTGGGTTTTTTTTGTATTGTCTTTGTCTGGTATGGGGAAAAGAAAAACACTGCTCTCATAAACTGAGTTTGAAGTGTTCCCTCTTCTGTTTTCTGAAAGAAAGAATGTGCAAGATTGGTACAATTATGTCTTCCTTATGTGGTTGATAAAATTCAATAGTGAAGCCATTTAGACCCAGAATTTTATTTGGTGGAAGGTTTTTAATTATAAATTAAATATTTTTAATAGATAATGCATTATTCAGATTTTCTTATGTCAGTTTTGATAACTTGTTTGTCAAGGAATTGTCCATTTCTTCTAAGTTGTCAAATTTATTGGCATTAATTTTTTATATTTTTGTGATTCTATATCTATAGGATCTTTATGGACACCTTCCTTTTGTTTATGATATTGATAATTTATGCTTGTCTCTTTTTTTCTTGTTCATTCTAGCTAGAGGTTTATCAGTTCATTTAACTTTTTGAAGAACCATTTCATTAATTTCTACTCCATTATTTCCTTCCTCTACTTACTTTGGGTTTAGTTTGCTTTCTTGTCCTACATTATTAATTTGGGAGCTTTATTTATTGATTTTAAACAAATCTTCTTTTTTAATATAAGCATTTAAAGATTTAAATTTCCCTCTGAATACTACTTTAGCTACAAAGTTTGATTTCTTGTGTTTTCATTACTCATTTGCTTCAATGGTAATGACCCATAGGTTATTTTAAGTGTGGTGTTTAAGTTCCAAATATTTAGAGATACTCCAGTAATCTTTTTGTTATTATTTCTAATTTAATTGCATTGTGGACAAAGAATATACTCTGTATGATTTTAGTGCTTTTAAGTTTATTGAAATTTGTCGTTTGGTCCAGCAGATGGTCTGTCTTAGTAAATGTTCCATGCAACCCTGAAAAACTGTGTATTCCATTTATTGGGTGGAATGTTCTATAATGTTACTTAGGTTAAGTTAGTTGATAGTGTTGTTGAAGCCTTCTGTATTCTTACTGATTTTCTGTCAATTACTGAGAGAGAGGTGCTAAAGTCTCCAGCTATAATCATGGATTTGCCTGTCTCTTCATTTTAGTTTTGTCTGTTTCTATTTCATGTATTTTGGAGTTTTCTTACTATGTGTGCATACACATTTAGGATTATGTATTTTCTTGGTGAATTGACACTTTTATCTTTAATAATATCCCTTGTCTTGAAATCTACTTTTTCTGATATTAATATAGCTACTCTAGCTTTCTTTTGATTATTATTAGCATGTATATCTTTTTTCACTTTTAAAATTTTTAACCTTTCTATGCCCTTATGTTTAAAGTGGATTTGTAATAAGTAGCTGATAGTTGGGTCTTACTTTTTTATCCAGTCCGATCATTTCTGCCTTTTAATTGGGATTTTTAGACCATTTACATTTAATGTGATTATTGATAAAGCTTGGGCATTCCACAGTGTATATGTATTTCAAAACATGTTGTACACAATAAATACATACAGTTTTTATCAATTAAAAAAATAAATATTTTTTAAAAAAGAAAAGGCTTGGGGGCAGGGGAAAGGACCAAATCGGTAACATTAAAAAAAGGGCGGGGAGGGGGGGCACACACCATTGATCCAGGAATTTTATTTCAAGGAATTTATCCTACAGATTAATTCACACAGAGTTCTTTACTAAAATATTATTTGTAGTTCCAAGAGATTGAAAACATCCTAAATGATCTATAGTACATAACTAGTTACATAAATTATGATACTCCCCCCCAGTACAATGGACTACTATGTAGCTATAAAACACAATGAGCTTTCTGTAGTAGGATGGAGTACTCTCCAAAATAAGTTATCAAATTAAATAAGCAAAGTACAGAATGGTGTATATGGTAAGCTATCATTGTGGAAAAGCATGTTAAGTACATGTATTTGCATAGAATATCTCTGGAAGGATACACAGAAAACCAATAACAGGATGCCTCTAGAGAAGAAGAAGTAAACTTTTCATTGTTTACCCTCATAACATATTAATTTTGCACCATACGTAGATGTTACTTAAAGTAATTTTTAAATTGTTTAAGAGAATATGATTGGCTTTTGAGAGAGCAGTGTCAGTTAAGGTAGGAGCAAAATTGGTAGTGCAAGAGAAGGAATGAGTGAGTGGTAAAGAAGTAAAATTCATTTGGTGTGCTTTCATTTCCAGGTATTATCCCTAAGTCATATTTAGAATTTTTTTATAATTGACATTAGATTAAAGAGAGCAGAAAGACATAAAAATAAAATATTCATGATATGGGAAAAATGGTTATTAGAGGCATTTTCTTAATTTCACCACAGGTATATTTGCCCTGCGTTTTACAAACAAAAAAGAGGTATGTGGGTTACATGTATGAAACACTGGATCAGAAGGACCCTGTATTTGATGCAAAAGGAATAGAAACAGTTAGAAGAGATTCCTGCCCTGCTGTTTCTAAGGTAAGTTTTCTCTATCTTGTCTTTATCTGTAAGAAATAAGTGACTAAAGAATCTGGTGAAAATGTAATTATCTTTAACCACACATCTAGGTGAAGGGAAGTATATATTCTACATTAACTATAGGAGGAACTATATGAATTTTGAGAATTTTATTTCTTTTTTTTTTTTTTTTTAAAGATGACCGGTAAGGGGATCTCAACCCTTGGCTTGGTGTTGTCAGCACCACGCTCAGCCAGTGAGCAAACCGGCCATCCCTATATGGGATCCGAACCCGTGGCCTTGGTGTTATCAGCACCGCACTCTACCGAGTGAGCCACAGGCCGGCCCTTGAGAATTTTATTTCTTTTTTTTTTTTTTTTAAAGATGACCGGTAAGGGGATCTCAACCCTTGGCTTGGTGTTGTCAGCACCACGCTCAGCCAGTGAGCAAACCGGCCATCCCTATATGGGATCCGAACCCGTGGCCTTGGTGTTATCAGCACCGCACTCTACCGAGTGAGCCACAGGCCGGCCCTTGAGAATTTTATTTCTAATGAAAACTATTTTACTTTAGTCCTTAGTTTCTGACTTCTTCCCATCCCTTGTTTTATCAAAATTGTTAAAAATCAACACATGAACTTGATAAGAGTTTCCCAACTATCACCTGGAGATGTTAATACAAAACCTAGGGAACAAGATAAAGAGGAAAAAATAACAGATTTCATAAGTAACATAATCCCTCTCAGAATAACTGAAATTTTATTTACTAGGGTTCTCAAATATAAATTAGGAAGATTTCTGAACAGAGGTACTATAAGTTAACTAAATTTCTCAACCATAGTAATTTTAACCATAGTATTTTGTTTTTTTCTTTACTCAGGCTCAGATTCCTTCTTTAACAAACCAAATATAAATAGTATAAGTGGGAATACCACTCTATACACTGAGTTTTATGAGAATGTTGAAAGCATAACAGATTGACCGTTATCAATATATTATGTCATATATACAATATGTGAATTTGGGATATTATTTAGTACTAGTTTCTGGAAGAGATATCATCTGGTACATTCTTTTTCTGCTGGAAGAATTGTACCTAAGCTAAATTAACAAGCTTATTGTATAAATATGCATAGGTTCAAGTATTCAGAATAAGATACAGAACTTTCACCCAGACTATTTTTTTTAAACTGATGTGTAATAATTGCACATATTTATGGGGTACAGAGTTATATTTCAATATACGTATACAATGTGTGATGATCAAATCAGGGTAATTAGCGTGTCCATCATGAAATGAAACTTATCATTTCTTTATGATGAGAGCATTTCAGCTTCTCTCAGCCATTTGAAAACATACAATAAATTATCAATTGTAGACACCTAGCACTACTATAGACCACTAGGGCTTATTTTTACTATCTAGCTGTAATTTTGTATGTGTTAACCCATCTCTCCTTCCGTCCCTCTCCCTCTCTCCCCTTCTCCCCTTTCCCCTTCCCCCCTTCCCCCTTCTCCCTTTCCCCCCTTCCCCTCTTCCCCCCTTCTCCCCTTACCTTTCCCAGCCTCTAATAACTGCAATTCTACTCTTACTTATATAAGCTCAACTTTTTTTTTTAAGCTCCCACATATGAGTGAGAACATGTGATATTTATCTTTCTGTGCCTCACTTATTTCACTTAACATAGTATCTTCCAGGCTCAATCTGGAACTAATTTAAATTCAGTCCACTACTTACATCTACTGCATGTTGGTCATTTCCTAATAGAAATATTTCCAACACGGAAAATTCTGTCACAGTTATTTATCAACACTATAAAAAAGCAAAAGGCTGATTTTGATTTCACTAAGTGGTTACATTTAAACTTCTTTCTGTCCTTTCATAACTGAATTAGGTACCTTCTATAACAAATAAAAACAACATGTGAAATTATGTCTGGTTTCTTGTACGTAGTACTTTGACTTTTTAAGAAAAACTTGAATGATTTATGTTGCTCATCACATAGCAGATATTTCATCTGCATTTCATTCTAATATGATTTTTCTCAAACCTGCATGATATTCTGTTCTAAGAACTAGCAAGCTATATAAAGTCTCCAGAATATTTTCAAATTTCTAATAATTTTTATTATCTAGTCATTGTAAGTAGCATTATTTAGGTAGATCAGCAAATTATTCAATAGTTACATAATTGAAAGTATAACAATGATGAAATGTACTAGGGGATATTTTATCTTTATATGCATATCTTTTTTGTTTTAAGATACTTGAGCGTTCTCTAAAGCTGCTATTTGAAACAAGAGATATAAGTCTAATTAAACAGTATGTTCAACGACAATGTATGAAGCTTCTGGAAGGAAAGGCCAGCATACAAGATTTCATCTTTGCCAAGGAATACAGAGGAAGTTCCTCCTATAAACCTGGAGCTTGTGTGCCAGCCCTTGAACTTACGAGGTAATGATGCACACAATAGCACAACCTCAGTACCTAGTCAGTATAGTCCTAGGATTCTGCACAGGCTTAGAGTAAATGAAAGATACCTAATTCATGGTAACAGACACACAATATTTTTTTTACCTGCCACATGAAGCCTTACTGAAGGTGAATGCATGTTCTCCCATACTTGGTTAGCTCTGAAGAGAAAATCCTCTCCTGGGCTTCCCTTGGGAAACTAAATGTGGTGAAATTGTGGTCTGATACAGAGTGTGATTCATTTGTTTTTCCTACATTGAAATCACTAGGTAGTCCTTAATATTGATCTACCAAAGCACTTAGATGGTATTATTCTGAAATCAGATAGTTTAACCAGTTAAATTTTCCCTTATCTTTCATTGTTAAATTTATGATAGTTCTTACTATTAGGGATAAAAAAACATTTTAAGCTAGTCGATATCTGCCAACTCTTATTATTTTCCAAGTAGCAGTGATTTACAGAGTAAGCTTAAACTCTAACAGCATATTCACTTGGTGCCAACTGAGTGAAATATATTTAGCTCTTAAAGAAGTAGGAACTCTAATTTGAAGCTAACCCTTGTAGATTTCTAACGTTTTGATTATTGTTTGATTCTGATTTAATTTGCTGGAAAGATGCCTTCTGTGACAGTCTTTGAGTGTGTGTTTTATTTGAATAGGAAAATGCTTATTTATGACCGGCGCTCTGAGCCTCGAGTTGGGGAGCGAGTGCCATATGTCATCATTTATGGGACCCCTGGAGTACCACTTATCCAGCTAGTAAGGCGCCCAGTGGAAGTCCTGCAGGACGCAACTCTGAGACTGAATGCCACTTACTATATTACCAAGCAAATCCTTCCACCCCTGGCCAGAATTTTCTCACTTATTGGTATTGATGTCTTCAGCTGGTATCATGAATTACCAAGGGTAAGTTACTAAATGGTATATGTGCTATAACTACATGGAGATTTCACTTCAAATTTCTGTAGAACTAAAGATTTTATTTATGTACTACGAGAGGCAAAGTGCATCCTCCATTATCCTAAACTGGCAAAGATGCCACACTCTTCTAGTTTCCTAAAAGAGAAACTTCTAAGTTTTCTACAAACACCTTTCCAGCTTCTGTCAGGTTGGCCAAATTATAGAAATGTTAAAATAAATCCCACAACTATTTCAATAATAAACACTTAGCCACAAAATAACTCAAAATAAGCCAGCTAAAAGAAAAAAGTGGAGGGGGAGGGGCGGGGGAAGGAGAAGTGGAGCACTAAAGGGTACAAAATTATGCTATCTACACTGAGTGAATCATTTTGCTGTATACACATACATTGAAACAACACACTGTACCCCACAAATATGTACAAGTAAATGTTAAAATTAAAAATTATTTAAAAGAAAATGAGAGCAAAAATTCCTTCAAATGAATGTTTAAGGATAGAATATAGTATCTAGACATAGTCCTGAAGAAACCAGACTAAAGAAATAATGTTAGAATAGCATTATACTTAAGTTACATGCAATGTTAAATCTTACAAAGGGAGATTCCCCTTGAATTCTTCTTAGTTTATTCATTAGAAAATGAAGGAGTGATATATAATTCTGTAATAATCTGGGACAAATTTTTCTAGGAGAGTAGTCGTTTTTATCTACTGTTAGAATTCACTTCAGATCTGCTCAATCACTCACTATTATCTCAGACTATGAAAGGCAGATGGTATTTAGGCAAACTGATAAAAGTTGATATTTAAGTTATTTTTCATATAGTGTAAATGTATCCAAATATCACATTGTCCTCCACAAATATATACAGTTATCATGGGTCAATTAAGAAAAAATATATTAAAAAGAAAAAAATTTTCAGAGACAGAAGTAGAATAGAGGTTACCAGAAACAGGGAGGAGGGAATAATGAGAAGTTTTTGATTCATGGGTGTATTAGTCTGTTTGTGATGCTTATAACAGAATACACAGAACTGGGTGATTTATACAGAAAAACGAAATTTAGTACTTATAGTTTCTGAGGCTGGGAAGTCCAAAGTCCATCCGGTGATGGTGACAGCAACCCATGGGCCTCACATTGCAAGATGGTGGAAGCAGAGAGAGCAAGAGAGACAGAAAGACAGACTCTCCTCTTTTAAAGCCCTCAAACCACACCCCTGACACCATTTTTAATCCATTCACTACTGCATGGTCCTACAACCCAATCACCTCTTCAAGGCTCCACCTTTCAACTGCCATAATAGGATTTCCCACCCTCTTTACAGTCACAGTGGAGGCTAGGTTCCTAATACATAAAACTTGGGGGACACAGTTCAAGCTTCAGTGCGTTTTGGGGGGACATAATTCAATCCACTACATTGGGTATAGAGTTTATGTTTAGGATGATGAAAAAGTTTTGGAAATAGGCAGAGGTAGTGGTTACACAGCGTTGTGAATGTAATTCTATGCGATTTTATATTTTAAAAAGCTTAAAATGGGAATTCTTGTATATGTTTTACCACAATAAAAAAAAAGATAGAGTTTATGTTTAGGATGATGAAAAAGTTTTGGAAATAGGCAGAGGTAGTGGTTACACAGCATTGTGAATGTAATTAATTCTATGCGATTTTATATTTTAAAAAGCTTAAAATGGGAATTCTTGTATATGTTTTACCACAATAAAAAAAAAGACGCAGTGAGTAATAAAATATTCCTAGAAACAAAGACTGGAAACAAAGACTGCAAATATATCAAGTCTCCTGAGTTTATCTATCAATTTAATGTAATTCAAATCAAAATCTTGATGTTTTAAAAGTTTTGTTTTTTGGTGATGAGAAGAGGGAGTTGGAGAAACTTAACTAAATAAATTGTAGTTTATCTTGAAAATTAAATGCACTCAAACAGCTTTAAAAAGTTATTTATACTTTCTACCTAAGCACTTAGAGGGAAGGAAAAGAGTAAGCTAGGAAACTGAGGTTGAAGCTGTGCTTCAGAGAATTTGTGCTGGCTGACGTCTATAATGCTGTATCCTGGCTCTATGCCAGGAAGGGCCTTTTTCTTTTTTTTTTACTATTTTTCATTTTATCACTAGCAAGAATGTTTAACCAATGATATGTGTAAGAGGCTAACCTAATTATTTTTATGCAAAGTGATTTATAAGATACCAGGAGAATATGCTATGGGTATAATAATATGATAATTTATTTCAATGTAAAAAGAGTACCAGAAGACAGATCTGAAACCAGTATCAACTTCAAATGAAGAATTCATAGGTATCATGTACCTAATGTAACTTGAAGTGCTCCGGGTTTACTTTTGCTTGAATTTTGCACTCTACAGCCTAACAAGTTGTTTTAACCTTTCACTTGCTTTGTGTCCGTGGCCCAATTTGTGCAGCTTTAAACAGTATCCACTCTCAATCTGGATTACTTCCATTGCCCTCTGTGATCTTGTACATCTACATAACTCAACCAATAAACTTAGTGTCAGGAGACCATTTTTTTCCCCAAAAGATATTAAGTTGTAAGCTCCATGAAAGCAAGAATTTTGTTCATTCTATAGCCCCATTGTCTAGAACAGCACCAGGCACATAGTAGCTACTCAACATTTGATGAATGAGTGAATGGAATAATGCCTGAGTAAACCTGTAATTAGCATGAGAATAGCAGCTCTGCTGTGAAGCAGGCTCAGACTTAATCTGAAATGATGTTTTTATAGATCCAGAAAGCCACCAGCTCCTCTCGAAGTGAACCTGAAGTGCGGAAAGGCACTATTTCACAGTATTTCACCACTTTACACTGTCCTGTATGTGATGACCTGACTCAGCATGGCATTTGTGGTAAATGTAGGAGCCAACCACAGCAGGTTGCAGTCATCCTCAATCAAGAAATTCGAGAGTTGGAACGTAAACAGGAGCAACTTGTAAAGGTACGGCCTTGTTTGATAGACCTGGAATCCCAAGCAATCTGATTCTTCAGGAAAATATAGTCAACTCTTGAATTATAGTATGAGATATGACACTGGTGTGAAAAGTGAAGTGAGGATTCCAAACTGATAAAAATCTCAAAAATACCATAATTGAACTATTAAAAATGCCTTAATTTGTTTTGTAATTTATTTTTTGTTTTTATAGAATAGTGTATTGTGTTTATTAAAACCTAGAACTAGAATGGCCATTCACCCAACTTCTTTCATAATAGTACTTTGTAAGAAAAACAAGTCCCAATTGCTCTATCAGCGCTTATTACCATTCACATAAAAATCTAGTTGTCATAAAGAATTGCTAATATACTTGGAAAGTTTACAATTCTAAGAGTCCGGATAGAAAATGAATAGTTAATGGCATTGTCTTACTACATACGTGCCAGAGACTATTCTAGGCACTCTTACAGATGAGTAAACTGACACAGGGCAGTAATTTGCATGTTACACTTTTAATAATTGACTGAGGTGGAATTTCTTGCCCTTTTCTTGCCCTTTTCTCGCCCTTCTCCCTATCTCACTCTACCCCTCACCCATATCATACTGAACTTCTTTTAGGTTCATGAATGCACCTTAATCTCTTCTACCTCCTGGCTTTTAAACAACCTGCTCCCTCTGCCAGGAATACTTTTCTCAAATCACTACCCTCTCCCACAAATCATCCGAAAGGAATATCAGTTTAAACTTCTCGACCCAGAGGTGAAGCTTTCCCTGCAATGGGCTCCTCTGCTTTACTATGATTATGTGTGCCTCTGTCTTCTGCAGTAACAGCAGATGAGCTGGTGAGGCCCTGCCCTTCTCTCACTGTTGAGTCTACTGTGCTTAGCATAGACTCCAGCCCTTGGTGGGGGTCTGCAAATATTTATTGAATGAATGAACAATTTCCTGCTCAATGCAATGTCACTGAGTTATTACCAACCAACTTTCAGCCATTTTGTACTAGGTTTTTGGTTCTAGTCAGTACAGCCACTAAAGTCATTGGGTACTCTCAGCTTCTGTTTATTTTATAGGCTGCTGTCCCAATGGCAGCAACCAACTTTCATAGAAAATTCCTTTGTTGGATCCTTGTACAGGCACAGATGAGAGCAGGACCACCAGAGCTCTTCTAAGGTCAGGCTGTGAGTGGTCTCTTCCTGGATCTTTTTATCTGATGCCCTCCACGACAAATACTGCACTAATCAGTCTAATCAGAACCCTTCCTCAGTGTTAGGTCTTATTTCTTATTAAAATACAGCTTAAAAGAAGTGATACTACTTTTAAATAAAGAATAGTTCATCATCTTTCAAGAGAGAGTTTAACTTTACATGTTGTTTATTTTAAGAGTTAAAATGTCCCCCGTGTACTAATTTATAGAAATTTTTATGAAGCAGAAATTATAAGATATGAGAAATAGAAACATATTAATAATAGGAAATTTTGATACATCTCTCTCTGTCCAAGACTGATCAAGTGATCAGAAATAAGAATAATTACTGAATATCCAAACAACATAATAAGGTAGATCTCTGATTATCTGTCAAACTCTGTGACCCAGTATTAATGAATACACTTCTTAAGTGTTTATTAAATGTTAAAAAAAAATGACTATATCTTAGTCTGTAAAGAAATCCTCAATAAATTTCAAAAAGTAGAAATAGTATAAGTGATATTTTATCAGTGCATTGCTATAAAACTAGCAATTAAGTATAAACTCAGAAAACAAAATGACCTTTCCACTTGGAAATTTTAATACTCCTTATTAAACAAAATGAAAACACTACATGTCAGATTCTAGAAGGCCATAGAAGATCTCAGACAAAAATTCATCAGCTTTTAAACACTTTTAATAGTAAACATGAAAGAATGAAAAACAATGAACTAAGTATCTGCCTGAAGTTTTTTTAAAAAAAAGAAGACCAAAGGATAGCAAAAAGAAAGAATAAATATTAAAGCAGGTATTTTTTAAACGTCTGCCTCCTTATGAGCTAAAAAAAAAAAGTAGGTGTCCATATTGTTGTGTTTAAAGTTTTAAATGTAAACCTGAATCAAGCTATACTGCTCAGGGTTTAAATCACCAGTAAAGGATCTTGAAACTAAACATTGAGTTAAATTTGGTGAGTCATGTAATTCCATCCTGGCTTATTTATCAGACAAGCACAGAGAGTGCTTAAATATTTTATCAGTTTGTCCTGGCACCTGAATGTAGCTGCAGTATGTAGAACTATAATACAGAAATTCTATATTTGGGAATAGATTTGAGTCTCTTGGTAGAGATCTAATTAGCAAAAGGCTTCAAAGTAGAACATCATACTCAGTCTTCATAGAACATACTGAAACACACATTTGTAAGCAGTCTGCTTGTGCCAGTATCATAATACTAGATACAGTAACCAGTACTCAGAAAAATGTGCCCTTCAGTTGACTGGAAGATAGTGGGCAAAGAACAAAAATTCACTGCCCTTTGAGCCGTCTAAAACAGAAGCCCTTTGATAAGTACAGATCAATTAATTCACTAGAGCATATTTGATTTATCTCTTAAAAGACAATCTAGAGTAGTTGCTATTTTGTATGCCTTTTTTAATCACTTGTATACAGCATTCAAGTACAAAATCAGCCTGTATTTTCTAGACCCTTGAAGTTCTCACTAATATCTGTTTTAATTTTTTGATGTTTTTCATGTTTTATAATCCTTTTTTTAACTGTATGTGTGACCTGAGACTTTAACTACTATCTAAAATCGGGGTTGGCCCATTAGCTCAGTTGGTTAGGGCACAGCCTTATAACTCCAAGATTATGAGGTTAGGATCCCCATACTGGACAGCCACAAAAAAATTTAAGTTATAAAAAAAAATCTGATCATTGTGTAAGACATTGTAATGCTTCTTCTCATAAAAATTGCCTTATGATTTATTATTTTCCTTAGGATCAGATCTAATTATATATCATAATCACCTGAAAGGCTTAAAAAGTTAGGCTCTATGTGCCCAGAGATTCTGATTCGTTGGTCTAGGATGGGGCTCAGGCACTAGTTTATTTTTAAGCCCCACCAGACTTGAAAACCACTGGTCTAGACTGCTATTTTCAAATTCATATCATTTGATATTTTCATACTGGCATTTTCTTTTCTGAAATAAGAAAATGGATAATTTTTTTATGATTGCTATATAAAAATAAATCTAAATAATTTGAAAAAAAGTGTTAATAGTTCATTTAAAAGACATTTTTGGTAATCGAGTAGGTTATTATGTAGATTTTAATATAATAGGATTCTATTGTAAATGAAAGTTGATCCTCAGGAATGAAATTAATCCTCAGGGAATTTTGTACTCTCTGTTAGGTGAAATAATATCCTTTAGAAATGCCTCAACATAGAATAGGCTAGGCTTCTAAGATGTGAAAATTAATGAAACTTTCTGTAATATATTATGTCATATGTCTGCCAGGAATCTGTGGTGGGCCAGAAAGGAGGGATTATAAAAATGTGTTGTTTACACCTATACATAGAAACTTTCTTATTACTTTATGTATTTCTTTTATGCTTTCAGATATGCAAGAACTGTACGGGTTGCTTTGATCGACATATCCTGTGTGTTTCTCTGAACTGCCCAGTACTTTTCAAACTCTCCCGAGTAAATAGAGAATTATCCAAAGCACCATATCTCCGGCAATTACTAGACCAGTTTTAAATTCTCAATATCACAGAATTCCAGGTGCTATTTTTTTCAGTGTTTACCACTAAACTGTTGTGCATGGTGCTTTTTCAACTTTCATCAAGTCAAGGATGTTCATTGTTATCTGAAGACTATGAAGACTTTTATGCTAACTGAATTAAAAATTAGAAGCTCACTTCTTACATGTACAAATTCCTCATTCTTTCACCTTTTTAACATTGTTTTATAACGCAGGTATTGGATTTGCTCCAGTATGTATACCATCTTGTAAAGCCATTTGAGTATAAGATGTTTATTTCCCTGTGGAAGGAGCACTGAAAACCTCTTAAAGAAAAACCATTCGTGTGTTTTCCTTGAACTGTCTGTATCGACATATTACTTAGAGATATCCATTCACTTTATAATTTTGACTGCAAAATATTTTGTAAATACACTTTTTTACTTTTCAAACAGCTGAGTAAAATAATGTGCAATGAATTTTATACAAATGATTTTCAAGTTGTTTGGTATATTTCCTCTAGGTTTTGCTTGACTCAAAGTAGATTTGTTATTTTGATCAAACTGTGCAAACAATAGTACCATGTGTAGCATTTTGAAACATTATTTTCTAAAAACCGCTGTCTTGCTTTAGCTATTAATGGGGCATTGTGAGGAACTGTGCAAAGACATTTTTGTTACAAACCTGTGGGCCTGTTGCAATACTTTAAAAATAAAAAATTTTATTCCATTTTTGCTTGTTTTGTATAGACATTTCTATTGCTTCTAAATATGCTTAAAATATTTTCTTTCCTTATGTACTGTACAGTTAATCTTATTTGCCATCATCTTGAACACAAAATGTGTATTTAGAATATTTGTATAACTGTATAAAATGAAAAAGGAACTATGTGGTCAGTGTATTGTTTTTTAAACTGGAAATCATTTTGTTTGAAAAGTTACTAATGGAAACCATATTAAAATTGAATAAAATATGAAATATGGCAGTGTGATTTTATCCTATTTTTTAAGCCAAATTGGTTACATCTTATCCTTTTCAGATTTTTAATGAGGTAAATTTAACTCATTCCTATATTCCAATTAATATTGCAATTCCCTTACTAAAACTTTAGGATTAAAAAAAAGGGGCAGCAAAAATAGCCTAGGAAAAATTTAGCACTCATTCTTTTAGAGAGTTCTGAGAATGTACTTGTTAGTAGATCTTAAAGTGTTCATGTTTAGTTGGATATAATTAAATTAGTCTTGGGGCTAGGACTTACTAGAGGGAAAGCAAAAACTACATTACTACTTTCTAAAAACTTAAATGCCAGTTTCTTATATGCCAATTCTTTCAGTATTTCTTTTTCAAAAGTTCTTATTTTAACATGGATAGCTTATCTGGTTACTCACCAAAAATAGGTCTTCCATTGCCAGAATATGTACTTCCACATAACAGGGAGGATTCATTTTCTGAAAATTTTATGGTAAATATGGAATTAGAGAGATACAAATCATGTCTCTGAACATATTTCTCTCAAGTCCTGCTAAGACATAACAAATCCCCACTTCTGGGGATCTTTTTTTGTTTGGGAGGCTTAGGTTGGGCTCAGAATTAGGGTTTTCTTACCCTGCATGGGTGGTCATTGATGTTTTCTCTATTACTTTCTCTTCTAAGTTGTGTGCTATCAGGACTTCCGCCTCCATCATCTCTTTCTCATCATAGTAACTCAACACAATATTTTCAACAGAATAACCATTTTTAACCTTCGTAATTGGACACAGCCATATTAACAAATAGTTATTCAACACGACGGCCCCAAACTAGCTCAGTTTTAGGCACATCTCTTGTTCTCTTTTCTTCAAGGAAGTGTCTTCGTTATAACTGTCCTTAGAGTCTGACCTCCATTTGCTGTTTCAATAACTGTCAGCTCAGAGGGTTGTAATTTAAACCTATTTTACCAAGAACGTTTTTGGAAGGAGCTTCCAGTATTACTTTCATAATTATTTTCCCTCCCATTTAGATTGGCTATTAATAAAATTTTGTCTTTGATCTAGATCACACACACACACAAAAAAAACATTTTTTGAATAGTGCTGAAGAAGCAGTTTCATTCTTTAAGGTGTTTTTATTTATCTGAAAAAGAATCAGAAGCTCAGAGACATCAAATACATTAAACATTTTCTTAAGTTTACTAAAACATCATTTTCTTTCGTTCTTCTCACTTCCCACCCAAGCCTTTCCTTTGATGAACCATGTAATATTCAGTTCTACATGGACATAAAAGTGTCTGTGCATAAGGGAAATAAATTGGGCAAAAACAAAAATGTAAACAGAGCAGTTAAGGATGTGAAGAATTCTTAAAGGAGGTGGTCCTTGAGGTCATCTTGACATTAAGGATGGCTGGAGCAGGCCACCCAAAGAGCTTGTGGACTCTGTTCAGCCCTGCCGATTGTCATAGGCCATACCCTCCGTCTCAGATGAGGCACATGACCTGCCATCAGGCACTCTATTTATGACCTAAGGCTTTCTTCCAGAACTGTATTTTATACTAGTAAAGTCTTGTAGCTATGGACTCTGTTCAGCCCTGCCGATTGTCATAGGCCATACCCTCCGTCTCAGATGAGGCACATCAGGCACTCTATTTATGACCTAAGGCTTTCTTCCAGAACTGTATTTTATACTAGTAAAGTCTTGTAGCTATGTAGTCTTGATCTTTCCACCCCCCCTCTATTGTTTTCATTATAGTTAAAGCACAGGGAATATTACTTTAAGGCCTATCAAATACGCTTTTAAATTGACATCAATTTTAGAATAGTATTTCTTAAAATATTCACATTTAATTTTATAAAGTAAAAATAAATCTGGTTATAAATGACTTTGTTAGGGCTCTGCCATCAACAGAGGGAACGGGGGGTGACAAGATGATGTCAGTGCATAAGTAACTTTTTAGGATGGATACTTCAGATCTCTCAGCAGCTCTGCACCTCTCAGAGGAGTCAGCATGCCCGCTCTACTTATTATCCCCGTAATACCTTGCCTGATGTAGTAAGAATTGTTACCGTTAACCATTTGGGTTTTATAATAGTGAATAAAATCCTGTACTGTTAATGCCTCAGTTCTGCTTAATAAGTAGCTTTGTATGAGAAAATAGTCATGGATTATATCTAGCATTTGGAATCCAAGGAGGAAGTCATGAGACACATACACACCACCTAATCCACTGCTTTTCTGTCTCATTTCCTCATCTTCTCCCATAGCTTTGTTTCGGCACTTTGGCCAAGCTCCAAGATTGGCTTACAAAGCAAAGTATCTTGTAGAGGAATTCTCAGATTCATAAAATCAGGTGTCCGTATATTAGGGGAAGAGAGTGTGACCAGGAAGATAAAGGCATTTTTTAATCAAAATACCATCTTTTGCCTGTTGGTCTCTACCTTTCTTGCTACTGATGCTGCCAGTGGTGCCTTTTGTTGGAGGGAAGGACGAAAATTTCCGGGAGAGAATGGAATAGGAGCAAGGAACCTCCATGCTCTGGGCTTTCTCATGATCAATGATGGGAACACAACCTTTGGAAAAGCAACTCATTTGGTCATAGAAGATAAGACATTAAAAATATTCACATTCTGGGCCGGCCCGTGGCTCACTCGGTAGAGTGCGGTGCTAATAACACCAAGGCCCCGGGTTCGGATCCCACATAGGGATGGCCAGTTCGCTCACTGGCTGAGCGTGGTGCTGACAACACCGTGCGGGAGCAACACCGAGGGTTGCAATCCCGTTGCCGGACACGGAAAAAGACAAAAAAAGACAAAAAAAAAAAAAAAAAGATCCCCTTACCGGTCATCTTTAAAAAAAATATATATATATATATATATATTCACATTCTTTGGGATAATACCACCTGCTCCTGATTACCTGGTAGAGGGTTTGTGAATAGGAATGTGGGTGAGTGCAAAATAGTTAAACAAATCTTAAATATGTCACAGTAAATATTTACTGAGCATCAAAGATGTGCCTGGCATTTTGCTCGTCCAGAGATACTAATGTAATCCCCTGTCCTCAAGTGTTTCACAGGCTATTGGGAGAGATACATAAGTAGATTGACATTGGTTTCAAGATAATGAAAGATGTCTTTGCCACCTCCTCTATTGGAAGAACCCAAAAATAAGAAAGCCAGAATTGATCTGTTAGAGAATTCCAGAAAGTCTTAGGAACGAATGGCACCAGGTGCTAACTGATTGTTTAAAAGGCACAGTTAGACCTCACAGGCCGCCTTGACTCCACAAACTGAGGGAACCACACCTGCCCCCTCCACACACACACACAGTTGACTCTAGGTTGATTTTATAGAGAAAGAACCAAAGAGGCACTGAACTTGGGGACATTGGGCACTGATGAGGAGGGTAGGATGAGGTATAGCACTATAAGCAGGGAGTGAGACTTTGTATCCCACACTGTGCCAAAGTGGGAAATGCCACAGCCAGGTCTATGCTCCCACATCACTATGTGCTGCTTTGACTCATAATAAATTATACTTGATTATCTTGCAACGTTTGATATTCATCTCTCTGTTAAGACTCTAAATATCATGGTTAGAGATCATGTCTAATTTGCTCCCCAACATATACCAGCACCAGCACATTGCCTGGCATGTGGACATGACTCAAATTACTGATATGTAAATGACTGCATGAATTAAAGGATTTAAAATATCCACCGAGTCTAGCAAACAGAGTTGTCACTGGAGGAGCTCCGGAGACAGTTGGGGGTTGAAGCCAGATTACAGTAGAGCAAGAGTAAGTGGAGGGGGAGAGATTTGCATTACCCACCTTAGTCAAGAGGTCAGTTTACATATGGCAACCTTCAATAAAGAGGTAAAAGAGCTTAGTGAAAAGATCATGGGCTTTGAAGTCATACGAACCTAAATTTGAATCCTAGCTCCATTTCCTACTGGCTGTAGGACCTGGCAGCGGGCAATGGGTAGAAGCACCTAAGCCTATATTCTTGTCTATAAAATAGGACTAATACCACCTACCTCGTAAGGTGGCTGAGGGTTCAAGGAGATGATGAAAGAAACTCAGAATAATGTTATGTATGTGCAGAAACACATTTTAACTAAGCTGGTTCTGGCTGGCATGTATTTTTATAGCTCCTCATCTACCAAAAACTGCATAGTTCCTGATGTTAGTTCCCTCTGATAACTGGAACTTGATATATAAAGTATGATACATGGGCACCTTGGAAAGGTCAAAAATAATTGGTTAAAGGGAAGCTTAAGGATTATATCTATATAAAAGTTTAGATTGTTTTTAAAAATATGCTTTGATATGTACTGATACCAGTAATCTATGTTTAAAAATAAAACAGAAGTAATTCGTATGTCAATTACCTCAATTTAGCCATTCCACAATGTATACTTATTTCAGAACATCATGTTATGCACAAAAATATAGTTTTGTCAGTTAAAATAAATTTTAAAATAAAGCAGAAGATATATATATATATATACACGAGTATATATAAATGCATTTTTATATATGCAGTTATCTCTGGAAGATGCAGAAAAATAACAGTAAGACTGATTGCCATAATTGGTGGGGACTGGGGTTGAGGGTCAGGGGTGAATAAGATGACTTTTTAATCCACCTTTGTACCCATTTAAAAAAGCAAAAAGCAAACTGTGCTCTTTTGTTTCTATCTCACTCTTCTGTTGCTAGTGGGCTTCAGTTATACTTCATGGCTGCCTGATTTGGTCCAAGGGAGTCCCTGCTTTTCATGGAGCCTGAGCAGAGAGCTCCCCAGGTACAGTATGTGAGCTCCCAGCTGCACATCTTCTGACTGACTTGCCAGGGCAACTAGGTGCCCTTATGGCCAATAACCTCATTAGCTTAGTTAGGCCCACCTGGCCTTCCCAGCAAAATAATTATAAAAAATCCAGCTGCACATCTTCTGACTGACTTGCCAGGGCAACTAGGTGCCCTTATGGCCAATAACCTTATTAGCTTAGTTAGG